ATCAATTAATTGTGGTTCGTCATAACATCAATGCAATTTTTTTTTTTTTCGTCTATTTTTAATTGTTCGCGATATTTCAAGTCTTGCTCGATCCATTTTACAATTATTCCAGCGCTTTTCTTGGAAAACTTTAAAATTTATGATAATCTATATACATCTATATACATACAATCTATATACATTTTAATTTTTTTAAATATATAGCATATACATATGTATATATATATATACATATGTATATATATATATATAGATACATATATATATATATATATACATACACACACATATACAATTCCCAAATATTCAATAATAATTATATATTTTCAATAGTGTTTACGCTTTAATTAACAAAAAAATTTTCACATACATTTTTTTCTTCATCATGTATAGCTAAAAAAGATATATATTTAGCGTATGTAATAAAACCTATGTGTTCTGCAAGAAACCGAAGAAGTTAACAAAGGAGAGCTCAAATCAGAGTATGTATTAAAAAACTAAGATCAAAATCAAACATACCGAGAACACGCCATGAAGTCGCACGGGATTTTATCCCAGTCACGTGTTATTCATCCTTAACCAGCCGATCTGTCAGTCAAGCAGACAGAGCAGTCGTCAGACTGGCAGTCGGTGACACGTTTCGTACAGAGTTCGGTGCAAATACACGCGCACTCCGCGTTCTATTAAGAGCGAGGCACGAAAAGGCTAGACGACACGAGGTGACATCGAGATGGGTGACACGACATGGCCCTGCGCTTAGCCCGCCTCAGTCTTACAACGACGACAGCTATGCGCACCTCTTCGGTCCGAACATCTCTCATTGCGTGATAGACATGCTAAACGTTTTTATTTCAATCTTCATACGTTCATTGTGTCTCGATGAGAAACTCGAGAATCGTGTACAGAGTTAACTTAATCATCATTATATATACTGAGAAAAATGGTTTGATTGAAAATGAACAAACTAGAAGATTCTGATTAAATCAGAATTCTAATTATCTCAGCAAGAATTTTTTGATTAAATTTATTAGAAAATTTTCTGGTTAAATTTATTAAATTTCTAGTGTAGATTACGAAATTTTGATTGATATAATCAGAATCTTCTGATTTGTCCATTTTCAACCAAACATTTACGAAAAATTTATTAAAAAATCTACGTTTTATATATTATAGCAATGGTGATTTCTCTACTGTTCGGATTAAGTAATTATTTATTAGATATTATTAGATATAAAACATTAAGTAATTATTAGATAAAATGTTTAGGTAAACATAAAAAATAAATAACGATATATCTTCCTATTTTTTCTTCTAGTTTATTACATAAATTTGCATATTTAAAGCGATGTAATTATTATTGATTGATAATTATAATGCATAATTATACTGCAGCAAATATTATGAGTGACATAGTGTGATTGGCTAACAACATAAATAATTATCGCTAACCAGATGATTTTATAAGATTTAGAAATAAATATATGTATAATGTTGCTTAATCTTTCTAATTAAATTTACATATACATAATTAATTACTTACTCTTTTGCTTATATAAGTACGTTTATAATAATTGTATCTTGTTTTTCTGATCAATTATTTTCCGAAGAAAGTAAAATTTTGGAATTATAAAAGAGAATCTTCCGCATCCTCATAGGGATGAATTGACAAATGTGCGAAGTGCTCCCATTGCATCTGTTTAAGATTCAATGTGATTACGAAATTTATTACTGAGAGATATATAACGCAAGTCATGCGTATGATTACGGAAATTCAAGTTACAATAACATATTGGCTTGTACTCCCCTCAATGCTTTAGAATTTATAGTGCGAGAATAACTACTGAGATCGCGCCAGATAGAATCTAAATGCTAATTAAACAGGTGTGCCTGACATGCGTGAAATTTAATCGGGTCAGCGATTACCGCGGTACTTTAATACATCAAAAGATATCATTAAAAATAGTAAATCACGAGTACATCAAAGATAAAATAATATTCAATAATTTAACACACACAACGCGCGCATACACACACACACATACAATTATATCATTGTGAGATTACTTTCATTGACTATGATTACTCCTGCGCATGTTCTTTAGGGATGATAAAAACTCTGAACCTGTTATAGACATCAAGCAAAGCGTTGTGAGCGTATCGGGATCTCTCTTGTGGTATTAGTTGGAATTAACATGGCGCGCCTAAGAAACATATTTCAATCGTATATGAGCATCGTTGAGAGCTTTCTCACTAGCCTTCACCGAGTACATTCCTTTACATATCAACGTATATTATATGAATGTCGACAAGATACCAATAGTACAATTTATCACCAGAAAAGATGAAAAAGCATGTTTTAAAAAATATTTATTCTCTTATAATTTCATATTTTATAATTTTAACAAAGCAAAAGGAAGAGAAAGAGATATATGGTTATGTTGAAAAGGTTACCGGAATGCAAATATATGTACAATGAGATAATAAAAAGATATTAATGAATTTTGAAGTGTGTGATAATTAATTTAATGAAAAAGTTAATGAAAAATATGAGAATTAATTTAAAAAATTTTTTAAATAAAAAACTAAAAGTTTTATAGAATTTTTTTTATTGCCAAATTATTTTTAGTTAGCGAACAGGAGTATTCTATAATAATGCGAGTGACACCGAAAAAGAAATTCCGTTTGTCTGTTACAAAACGGGTAGGTGCGCTGGATAAACGATATGCAGACCGAACGAGTCCGTGTCCAGACAACCAGAACACTATTTATTAAAAAGTCAGGCCACACGACCCAGCGACGTGTTACATCGGGAGGAAAGCGATAACACCGGACGAAGGGTCCTGTCATTAAGCCCGGTAGGAGCTTCGTTGTTCAACGCTCGTTGGTTGCCGTCCTCTGCGAAAACGCTTTTCACTCTCGTGAAAGTGCCCAGTTCGTGCTGTTCAGAGTCGTGGAACGAATCTTTAAACGTACTGTTATCAATGTTATGCGTAAACGCTCGAAATACGGGATAATCACACATGCAAAAGAGCTACTTTCGGAACAATGGGAAATATTTATTGGTATATAGGAGAACATTCTTGTTCTTGTTCTTTTTCTCTTCTTCTTCGACTTATCATTTTATTTTTTTTCTCTTATGCATATACAAATACGAATCAGTAGATTTAAATGATTTATTTATTCCGCGATTACTACTACTTCCTACTTAGTTACGTCTTTTTATTTGGACTATTTTCATCAATTTCTTCCTCTTGTTTCACACTATTAATAGCTATCTATTATAGCTGTAAATGAGCCGACTCTTTAATATCCGCAATGACCCATGTTCACAATGAACCTGACAACATACGAACAAATGCACCTTTACACGCATATAACACCTGCTATAATAACGAACCGAAGCCTAGTGCGGAAGAAGGGTAGAAATTAATATATATAGTATAATGACTACATCAAAATATGATATGAATGCTATACGGAAATTACAAATATTTCAAAAAATAAAATTATAATGTAATGAAGAACCATTTACATCAATAAAAAAAAATGTTATTTCTCACATTATTGTATATATTATTTATATAAAATATATTTATTATCTTTTAATTTTTAGAATGGTAATGTGGTTTTGTATTTGACGTAATGTAATAATGTTAAATTACCATCTTAGATTTAAAATAATCTACATAACGATATATCAAATTAAGATTGTATCAATTTAATATAATGAAGATTCATGAGACGATTATATCATATACTGTAAGTGACATTGAGACTAAGTCAAAACTCATTTCTAGTGTTGTTCAATGCAGTCAAAGATAATTTTTGCAAGTAGAGGTATAACAGGCGAAGCATCGTAATAATAGCGTTGCAAAATTATTTATGGCCGAGGCGTGCAAAGCAAATAAGTAAAACAGCTGCCAAGTTGACCAGTTCGCAATCTAGTAGCACTGGCGCAGGCATTAACCACAACTCGTTGAAATAATTAACGAGGTCGTCACGCGTTGCACGCGCTTGGACTTTTAGTAACATATACGCATCGCCTGTGCTTTTTATTCAATCTTTCGCACTTTTCCACTCGTGATCTGTCCGTGATAAGATTCACGGTTTAAAAAACATGATTTATTTCAAACATTACACTTTGTGCATATCAAGTATTATTTAAAGATATTTGACACGCGCAGCGTTTGCGAGGAATGAATGTAACAATTGTAATTTATCTTTGTCACTTTGGCAGTTCTTTCTATAAAGATTACATTTATCTATAAAGATGATATGTCATCTACATTTGTACATATTCTTGTCATGAAATGATGAAAACTCTTGGTTTCTAGGCACGGTGAACGCGAACGGTGAGACGAAACGACAAAGGACCTCGTACACCAGGTATCAGACGCTAGAGCTGGAGAAAGAGTTTCACTTCAATCGCTATCTGACAAGGCGGCGTCGCATTGAGATCGCGCATGCTCTCTGTCTCACGGAACGTCAGATAAAGATCTGGTTCCAGAATCGGCGTATGAAGTGGAAGAAGGAGCACAAGATGGCGAGCATGAACATCGTGCCGTACCACATGTCGCCGTACGGGCACCCTTACCAGTTCGCGCCCCACCCCGGCCAGTTCGCTCACTTGGCCACATAGGACGAGTTCTCGCCCGCCGAGCTCGGAGCACACGCTGTCCGGTTCCCCGGGATGTACGGCGAGCAGAACTTCTAAAAGGCTTTTTCCGCCTTGGACCCCGCGCTACGTCACGACGCTGTCACTTGTGACTTGGCGGGGTCGAGGGGGACTTCACTTCCAGTAGGACACATGGTGCGTTCCGCTGATTCCGCAATACCGATGAATTGGATTGTCGCCTGAGAAACGAGAGCTCGTATCCTTCTTTCGCAGATCAATAAAGTACTTAAATTATTTATGCGTTTGTTATCGGTTTGTGCATAACATTCAGTTTAACTCGGAAGAAGAACTTTATCGAGAAGCACAAAAGAGAAAAATTCTTTCTTTCCTGAAGCTGAGCAGAAACAATCCGTTCTCGCTCGCTTTCGATCTGCGGATACGCAAGTATTGTCACTGCACGACTTCGAAGTTGAAGAAAAGCCAAAATTTTCTGCATATATAGCGCCGTGCGCCCGATTTAATAGACTGGACGCGCTCCGAGGGGCTCTCACGCATGTGATTATTAATAATAAGATATTAATAATGATGCTAACAGTGCGGATGAGAGGCCACCTCAGCGGGTGAGATAAAACCGAATCTCTAGTTTAAGATGTAGAAATCAACGACTTAAGTAATTAATTCGTTACATAATGAATTAATTATCTTGTCTTGGCTGCACACTGTTTCACGTGAAATCGGTCGACAGATTGATTAAAACTAGGATTGGAGTATGTGCTTGTGTATTTATTTATTGTTACTTCTTTCTATGCGTCATTAATTTATTTTCGGCTTTTTCCGAACGTATTCATAGAAAAAGGCTTGCAAAAAACTCAAAGTTTAATATTAAAAGAAACATATTTTCACGTTCAAAAAAAATCTCTGTATCATAGTTCGTAAGACTACTAATACTTAAATTATTCTTGTGGTCTTGAAGAGAGAAGAAAAATTAGAAATCCATGTTGATTGCGTATAAATTATGCAAGCTTTTTGAAATATTCTTAGAAAATAAGAATTAATAGAATAACACCAAGATATTCGTACAGCATAATTTGCATGTGATTAAAATAATACGATTATTGTGGTTAATACCTACAGAAATAATCGTAACTAAAAAAATTTTTACATCTATTTATAATATTTATAATATTATAATATTTTTCATATCAAATGCCTCAACATATTTTCTCCTCTTCATATTCCTTTTTGTTCTCTATCATTATGAAGCGCTAAAAATTATTAAAAAAGTATATCCTAAAATGATAAATCTTTTTTGAAAATTAATGTATATTCGTATCATACGATTTACATTTGTTTTATTCTAGAATTATATTATTAATGAAACGGTGGACAGCTACGACCCTGCATCCTTTTGTACATAATTTGCAGCATAATATAACCAATGTCTCCCTGGAGCAGCCACGTTGTTCCTATATTGTCGATACGTAGGGAAATCTCGCGTGGAAATTACTATTCATTTTATCTTATCGCATCAAGCATTTTATCGCGATGATTGATACATGAACAAATGAACTACTATTGTTTCTCGCGCATCGACTATAGTAACTTTAATCCACATAGGAACTTATTAGTTTCCATAACCATAGTTTTAAAAAATCCGAGCTATTAAATAAAAAATAAAAAGGAAATGTTTCATGCGGTCGAATGGGATAAGTGACCCCGGATGCATTGTGAGTACGTCTACGTCTGACTTCGATGGTGCAATGTATGTGCATGTAGCGCTGAATATCTAACGCAAAATTGCATGCACGTGCTGCCTGATTACGCGTATTTATCGGCACAGGATATACGTAAATATGTGGTTGAGTATAACAAGAGAAACGTATTACCCCGTATGATTTAATAAGAAAGATTTAAGAAATAAAATTGGTATCGGCTAGTTAACCGGGAAGTGAGCGCAAATGTGTAAACTAATTAGCTAGTACTCGAGTAATTGATTATCTTGTGATACAACAGAGAGGAAAAGCAGTCGCTCTAATGCTTATTGAATTGTCATAACCGCGCGTTACGCGATGCAAATTCGGAAGAATACAGGGAATTTAGTATGTGTGTATGTTGTTCGAGATTCTAAGCGGTACAAGCGAGAGAAGAAACAAATAAAGAAGAGACTTTCTAGCTAGGCTAGCACATTGAATTGTACATAATTTAATTAAATATATAATGCGATATCTCTCGAACGAGACGTTATTATTGTACGAGGCGTTAACGAAAGAAGATCTTCCTTTTGTCTATATAAATTGATAAGTTACATTAATATTATAAGAAATTATTCACGATTAGAAAATATTTTGCATTTATTTTTCAATTAATTTGAAATAAGTAAAATAATTTCGGAGTTTAGAGATTGTACAAAAAATTCTTTATTTCTTAGAAGAATGCTATCAAGAACAACATAATTTTTTTTCTTCGTTATCGCCTGGTACGTTATATGGATATTTAAATAAAGCATAGTGAGCATTATTATATTATTATTAATAATATTATTATTATCATTATCATTATTGAAATTCTTGATATTATCTTTATTATTGTATTGAGAGTGAGTCTGTTGCTTATGATTTGGTCGAGTGTTAATATTGTATTTTATTTGTTTCGTTATTATTATTTTTTTGTTATTTACGCCGCGTGTCGTACAACACGTCCCGTACCTATGAATGATGTGCACAAATAATGCAAGATTTGCATTACTCTTTTACACGAGATTGCGGGATACGTAGCCTGCTATCTCAATGCTTATCAAAAATCGATTCAGAGTTGTTCGTAGTCTGTACCCGCAGTTTGGCGAAGTAAGAGACGAAATGGAAATTGCAGATATTTACTATTTATTCGTCAGGTGCAAAGATGTGCGTTCTCTCCAAGTTAAATTAAGCTCAAGTATTACGTTCGCGTAGCGTCACTCAAATGTTATTTCATTCCATGTAATATACGTAAAATAGTCTAACTAAAAATATTTACTTATTACATCTACGTAATCTAGAGCACCGTACGTGTAAGATCCGTATAATTAAATATAATTTAAATTGTAATTATTAAATGGTATGACGTACAGAAATCACTGATATACATTTCTTTTTTGGAACCTATAAGACCAAAAGAATTAATCATCAATTTTGATAACGCTCTCAATACAAGTGTGTAAAAATATTAAATATATAATTATTTTACAAATTAGTTAAATACATTACGCTATGGTAACAAAGAGAAGCAGATCGACAATTATACATTTATAATTACAACGCACCGCAATAATTATTATGTTTATAATTGCTGATACAATACTTTAACGCGTGCGCTTTATTGCTCAAACGTGAAACATGATAACGTTCATGTTGAAAAACTGCGGCGCGTGATGACCACGCGCGAGGTTATCTAACCGCGATACAAATTTCTCTTTAACTTAATAACGCATTTCATTATTTTAATTAGGCAAATGTACTGAATTAAACCGTCCGCGGAAAACTAGGTTATTAGTCAAATTTTAATTAATGGTGCTGATCTCAAATCACATTAATTATGTATAAAATTGATTAGCCTCGAGAGATTTAATCGCAAAATTTAATTATCCAGCTGACAATCGTAAGTGTATGCATGCTTGATCACAGACAGTTCACATTTTATTCAGTCTGAAAGGATTGCCGATAAGAATCGCATATCGGCAGCAGAGAGTCGCGTGTGATAAAGCAAAGTCACACCCTCAAAAACTACCGAAGCGGACAGGAGTCATATAACAAGAAAACAAGAGAAGAAACAAGTTTTAACGCAAGTCACGATCCGTCACAAGACTCACTCAAACGACTAAGATCGTCTAAGCTACCGACGATGACGGCGCGTATTCGATTGGCTTCGTAGGTGCACCTTTGTTAGGGACTGCGGCAAGGTAACCGTGACTTTCGGTGTATAGTCCGTAACGGAATACTGGTATAAAGAGGCGCTATGGCGCCAGCCTACCGTAAGGTCATGACCTCTCGATTAAATCAGATTGCTCTTCTATCAGAAATATAAGTACGGACTCTCTAGAATTCCTAAGTTGAACGCACTTCGACATCACGATAATTAACTCGCTTATACCTGCTCGTGCATATAATTGCGTACAGCAGCAAATTTAAACAATGTATTGCGTTAAAGCAATCTTGTCTTTATTTGATCATCACTGTATGTTGCACTGTTTAGCACTGATAGTTTATGTTAAGAAAAATTACAAGAAAATGAAAATAACTTTCTCGAATAAGAGCTATTAAGTTTTATGTGAAATGGAAAGGGGAAAGCACAGAAAAGTTTTCAGACAAGGCTCTCTCGTCAGTCTATCAGAGACGAGAAAGATCCCCACGACGAGCATCAGCTTTCGCGCGAACACCGTAGGTATATAATACCTCTCGCCTGCCGTCAGTCATTCAGTCAGTCATTGATACCACGAAGTGATTAATGAAGAGTCAAGGTTCGGGATCACAGTGTGGCGCGTAGAGGGGGACCGCGGAGTCCCGAGCACGACATCGCGAAGAATGTCGATACCACGCGGCTCCGAGAAATGAGTGCGCGTAGGTCGCCTATTGTGAAATTAAGTCTTGTTCAAGGTGTGGGATTTATCGAGCAATCATGTCGGATGTAATTCGACATAGAAACGTTTAGTAACAAAAAACGAAGTCGAAGGAAATCGTAAAGAAACTTCATTGCTTATAAATTTATCATTTGTAAAAATAACCGACTTTGTCATTGAAGATTTTCTTTTTGTCGATTCTGATAAATGTATTTTGACTTTTTTTTTTAAATAAAAGAATTCGTTTAACATCTTTATGATATACCCCTTCTTAAGTTATCTATTTCAAGAAAATAAGAAAATATATCAATGAGAGAATGAGTTTGAAAATATTGTACGTCGACAGACTAAGTAAGCAGTGAGTTATCTGCGTACGGATAAGACTCCTCTTCTATGTTACTGTCTGTCTGACAAGGAGGGTAGGGACCCAGCGCAAACTTGAAACAGGCCGTTCACGTTTATCCATCTGCGTTTACGTTCGTTCATTCCGTCTGTTTGTTCGTCCGTCCATCGATGTCCGAGTTGTCGATACCCGCCCTGTCCACAAACGGAGCAGAGCAAGACTTCAGCACTTTTACGTACGGAGTCTGAATAACAAATCTGTCCAATTCACATGTCGACATCAAAGAAGATAATATAAACACTACATCGATA